TATATGATGGTTAGAACAATTCCTCTAGACTTGAAGCATAAAGTAATTCGATTCATTTCTACATGAAGATCCAATCGGATATACAAAATATGACTATCAATATAGTGCAAGCCCTCTTTAACACTCAAGGTTAGATCCCTCCGAAATGGTCCGTGTAATGATTCACTAAGCCATGGTTCCTCTAAAAAACTAACATCTTCTTTGCCCAATAGCCACCTAGCACAGCTTCATAGAAGCGGGACATAACGTTGTATGGATCTCCAAATCGCCGTACTATGTTTTTTATTGATAAGACTTCACTCACAGAAAAATGTTCAAGTACTATATTTCGTCGAAAAAGAATTTCGTTGCAAAACCATCCACATAAGCTTGTCGTGGAGAGTGCATTGCACTTGTTGCAGACTACGAATTCCCAACTCTCCTTCTTCAATCGACAGACATACAGTGCGTGTTATCTAAAACTGCCCTAAAAACTCTATTGAAAAAATGCCATAAGCTGCTCAATTCGTCAATTAACAACTTTAGACAGCTTCGAACATGCCATAGTATATATATATATATATATATATATATATATATATATATATATATATATATATATATATATATATATATATATATATATATATATATATATATATATATTTATTTATATATATATATATATATATATATATATATATATATATATATATATATATATATATATATATATATATATATATATATATATATATATATATATATATATATATATATATATATATATATATATATATATATATATATATAAACACTTGATTAAACTCATTTTGAAGATGTCATTAAATGTAAGGGTTAATATGGGAAGAGTAATCTCGAATTCCAGCACCTTCCCATCCCATCCACTCTTCCCACAGCTCCCAATCTTGATCGTTCATTCCTCTCATCCCTTCTTCCGAATCACCATCGTCGCACATCTCTGTTTGTGGTGTGCTCACTTCCCCTCGTAAATTACTAATCACAATCTGCAAAAACAAAAAAAATCCCATTGAATATATATAAAATCCCACCGAGAATTAGAATTCTCCACAATATTTGAACACACGTATATTTCCATGTTTCTAATAATCATTCATTCTTGTACATGTAGGGGCTTCGGTGGGTGATCGAAAATCGACTAGTCAGCTAATTGAGATCAACTTTAATGAGAAAGCAAATGATTCCTATCATGAAAGTATTTCATTACAAGAAGTAACTAAACCAAAACAAACACATGTCACATCGATATTCAAGAATCCACCACGTAGGTCAATTTCATACTCTAATAATTATTAGTAAATGCTTCAAGTGAACAAAATCGCTACTAATATATCGCCATCGCAAGAAAAAAAAGAGGTTAATGCCTCGTATTTAGTTGGTTCAATAACTTTTCAGGGTGCCAAAAAATTAGTTCTTATCATCCCTTATTTACGCTTATTGGAGAATTGGCATTGAACCTCTTACTATAAAATTAGACTATGAGTCCTCGTTTAGTTGGGGAGATTAACCATTATTAGCTAAATAATTTAACTTCGTTTAATGTTTGGTATCCCAATAACTTTTCGGGTCAACTTGCAAATATTATATTATCATCGTAGCTTATCGGCCTTTTAGGTAGTTTTTTTGTTGGACGTCTCGGTGCCCGATAAAATAATTGGGTTTTCATTAGATTTATTTAATCTTATCTTAGCAATCAAACGAGGCCTTAGTGACAATCGAACAAGATCTGTGAAATTAAACCTAAAGGAGAAAAGGACAAGTAAGTAAACAAAAAAAGTTCGAAGATTTTACTTACATCATATGCTTCATTTATTTGGTGGAACTTTACTCCACAATTGCTTCCCCTGCAAATACTGCAATACAAAAAAAAAAAAAAAAAAAAAAAAATGACCCATTGTTTATAGCAATCAATATATGAATTTAAATTGTCGTGGTGTAGAATAGAACAAACTCCGAATAAGCCACAAAAGCATTGAATACAATTAAAAAAGAGGGATAACTGACAATCAAATAAAATGAAATTCAAGAATCATGAGATATAAACATATAGCAGAAAATATCTTTTTTTTTCTTTCAAGAATTTGAAATGCTGTAAGAACAATGCGAGAAAATTAAGGATATAAAAAAAGGAAAATTAAGGATATGAACCCAAAATTCTTCAATTTTACTCGGATGCGTTTGAAGCAATCTGTGATTACTCCGGTTTAGGGGGGCCTAAAAACGAAGAAAGGAGCGTATTAGACAACCTAGATGAGTCGATTATCCGAAAAAATACCTCCGTGAAAAAACCACAGACCACAGTGGAGAATCTTATTATCATCGAACCGAGGATTAACAATGTCTAAAAATTAATGTTTCTGTAAGCATCGTCCGCCAGGTTCCCGATCATCAGGTGAGCCGTTAGAAGCACAAATTTAATTGATTTATTTTTTCGATCTTTCCTTTGAATTTCTCAGAATTGTTCTATTCGGTTTTTGGTTTCGGTTTTCGGTGCAGAAGAACGAAGAACGGCTGTGTAATGCTATGACGGGAAAATTCTAGGGCGTAATTGATATATATACGGGGTAGTCTTGTAATTAGAAATAAATATTCAGGGCATAATAGTAATATAGGTAGTTGATTGGGCTGAGTGTTGGATGAGATTACTCAATCTCACCTCATTTGGCATGATGGGAGATCCAGTAATTCCATGATCCGGACCCGGGCCCAAGTGCAATCCAGAACCCGGTTGGGCTGAACCAAAGTTGAGATCCGAGTGGATTAGAGGAACTATCCACCCGGATCAGCCCAACCAAAATAGGCCTGATGGTAATGGAATACCTTTTCAAGTAAAGTTACCGATACTAAATCAATATATCTTATTATGTAATCGGTGAATGTCTATAGGAGTTACAAAATCATTAGTGAGTGTAATTAGAGGTGATAATGGTGAATGTTAAGGCCATTCATTCCCTTGTAACTCATGACCTTTTGAATGGTCTTCTTGTACTATAAAATGGACACCATTGTATGGAGTTGAAAGACACTTGAATAAGAATACAATACATACACACACTTGTTCTCTTCTTGTCTTTCCCTTGTTTTATAACACGTTATCAGCACGATTGTTCTATTTTTATTTTCGAGTAAAGATGATCCAAAGAAGATAATTACTTCTCAACCATGGAAGATGAAAAGGGAGTTGATTTCAAATATTTTATTGTTTTTTTAAATTGATTAAATATTAATCATCTTAATTTTGTTGTAGGTGAATTTTCGTGCAATTCACGAGTCTGTACTTCTATGTCTGTTTTGGACCTGATACTGTCTGAATTGCAGAAAATGCTAAATACGAAACTTGTAGCATTTTCTATTGGCTGTTCGGAACATTTTGAATCATCAAAATTGGATCTCGATCAAGAGAGATATGCTTAAAATACTCAGCTCTGCCAGAGCTGTCCCTTGTGCTAATTTTTGAGATGAACATAATGTTCTAAAAACAAAAGGTACGATTAAAGGCATAAAGCCTAGATTGCGTACGAGATTAAAATTCTCCATCGAGTATATTTGACTTTAAGTCTAATGATAAGACTCTTGAACAATTGACTTAGAGGGTATATTAAGTGAAAAAAAAACCACTTGCTCTCTAGTTTATGCAACTTGAAAAGCTCCATCAATCGAAAAAAGAACTCGAAGTTCATGAATTTTAGGCTCAAAACCAAGTTTAAATATATTAAGACTCAAGGTCTAAGTGATGATATATACTCAAAATTGAATATTTGAGTTAATGAATATTTTCCACTCAAGGTACTATTATTTTACGACTAAGTACCAATTATAAAGGCTTGACGCCTAAATCGAGTACATAAATTCAAGGTATAAAACTCAAACCTTGATATTTGAATAATATATTTTACTCGAAGAACTATTCAGTTTGTGGTTCAATAATATATATATATATATATATATATATATATATATATATATATATATATATATATATATATATATATATATATATATATAAAGATTTGAGTTAATTATAGTACTATTATTTCATGACAAGTACTATATAATGATTTCTATGAAGCCTTCAGGCTCAAATCGAGTACGTAATTTTAAGCAATAAAACTCAAATTTTGAGATTATATATATGTACTCGAAAGGACTTCCTTTGTAATTCAATGATTTGAGACATATCACACAATTCAAAATTATTTTTGATAGCTCAAGAAGAAATGTAACTATGAGCGTTGGATATTGAAGTTAAAGATCCATTTATGTCCCATGTTATCACAAAATATTTGTGTTATTGTTATGTGCCTTGAGGACACAAGCCAAATATTTTATAATGAAAATGTGTCTAGAAGACACCGAGCAAAATATTATTGTTTCATTTTTCAAGAAACGAGTACTTAATATGGGGTATGTGTCTTGAACACATAAGTAAAAGTAACATTACATGTAGTTACTTATGAAGAAGAAGAGAGATAGATATTTAATCCTCTCTATACTTTGCTCTCTTTAAATCTTGATTTGTTGTTTTGAAAACAACAAGTAAAATATTTCATATTGATATATGTGTCTTGAAGATACAAATGATGAAGAATTGTAAGAGAAAATATTCTCTAATTTATGGATCTATATTATGATCATGGAGTGACAACATAAAAACTCAAGTTGCACTCGTAATAGCAAAATACAGATTTTTAATAGCATATCGAACTATAATACGAGTTGTGAGCTAATACAAAACTCGTTCACTAGTTGTTATTCTTTGAAAGTGAAAACAACAATATTAAAAAATTCGAGACAGAATATGGGCTCGGATTAAAGGTTGGGGCGAGAAACAACTCTCAAAGGCTGGAAAAGAGGTTTTAATTAAAGCAGTTTTGCAATCCATTCCGTCTTACATAATGAGTTGTTTCGTTCTTCCCTATTCCTTGATCCGTGATATAGAGGCAGCGATTCGACGCTTCTGGTGGGGTGATGGAGTTAACAAGAAAATGAGCTGGATGTCGTGGAATCGTCTGTGTGAGCCAAAAAGTTTAGGAGGTATGGGGTTCAGAGACCTGAAGAGTTTTAACCTAGCTTTACTCGCAAAACAGGGGTGGAGAATTATTACAAACCCCGACTCCTTGTTATCGAGACTACTTAAAGCACGGTATTTCCCGAGAACAGGTTTTCTTAGAGCTTCAAATGGGGTGCGCCCCTCGACCACTTGGAGGAACATTGTTTACGCAAAACCTTTTCTTGAAATTCGTTTAAGGAAGAGAATAGGGAATGGCAAAAATACAGCGATTTGGGGGGATTCGTGGCTTCAAACGGATGGAGCTTTTAAGGTTATAACGAAGAGACCGTTGCATTCGTCCTTCCCAGACCAAGTAGCAGATTTGATTGACAATTCCACAAAAAATTGGAACGAACAGCTTATTAATGATGTGTTTTGGCCGATCGACAAAAAGAGAATTTTGGAAGTTCACATTGGAAATCTCGGAGTAGAAGATCGTATGGTATGGCATTATTCTCGGAATGGGAAGTTTAGTGTGTGAACCTGCTACCACAACACACGTGTTGCATTGCTACGCACAAATGGTAGGGTGCATGGCATTGGGAGTGGTTCCACAACGAAACCATGGAACGTTATTTGGAATCTAAAGCTTCCACCCAAAATCAGAATCTTTTTATGGAGGGCTTGTAATGGTATTCTACCAACGAATGAAGAGCTTTTCCGGAGAAAAATAAGCACTAGCCCGTCGTGTCGACGATGTGGTTCACCCCGAGAATCAACTATGCATGTTATCGGTCACTGCGGTGGGATGAATAAAGTATGGGCAACACCTCCTTTCAATAAACTCGATAAGGTAGGAAAATACAATAACTTTTGGCTGTGGTTTGAACACCTTCGTCTGACATTGAACAAGGAAGATCTGAACCTTGCAATTGTCATCAGCTGGAAAGCATGGCATATTAGAAACCAAGAAGTGCATGAGTCGCCTAACACAGTGGTTTCGGACCTGGTCTCTTGGGGGAAGAATTATTTGACAAAATATCACATAGACAGGCCCACAATTTTGCAAAACTCAGCAAGAGAGGGAAATGCAATTTGGTGCCCTCCTAACGAGGGTACAATTAAAGTGAATTTTGATGTGGCGTTTCCGACCGGAAAAAAGTTTTATAAAGTGGCGGCGGTGGCTCGAAACTCAATTGGGGAGTGTGTGTGGTGGAACGTACGGAAATTTCTAGGCCGACCGAGACCTGTCGATGGCGAAGCAAGAGCGGCGCTACATGCTCTTATGATAGCTCGAGAAAAAGAATGGAAAAAAATTATCGTTGAAGGGGATTGTTTGCAAGTTATTAATGCACTTAAAAGTTCAGAGAGCAATTTGACGTCCTTTGGCGCTTTGATTGAAGAATGCCGTCTCTTTGTTAATTATTTTGATTCTTGCATATTTTCTTTTGTCAAACGAAATGGGAATTGCATTGCGCATACAGTAGCCCATCTTAATGTAGATGATTATTATGAAGATGATCATCTTCCAACTCACTTGGCATCATTTGCCTAATAAAATGGTTTCCCTTTTGTTCAAAAAAAAAAAAATAAAAAAAATTCAAAGAGATATGTTGACATGAAAAGCTATCATATATGTTGCTCAAGCTTATTCACTATAAATTTTATCTCATCATTGGAAGAGAGATGAGAAATATGAAAAATGATTGGTTATAAATCCATTTCACGATAAAGCATGTTGATAAGCTTTATGAAGCACCAACACAAAAGCAAAAGAAATTGCTTTGATTTTGGAGTCACGATATTGACCAATCAATGAAAGATTTTGAATCACAAAAGTTAAAGTGATGCAAATTCGATTCAAAATCCATGTTAGTGGAGGTATGTACGTAATTTTTTTATACTTGGTCTAGATGAGATGAAATTTCAAACCAAACGAAAAAAGGGGCATCTGATTTTCTTGTTAAAATTCCAAACCCTCTGCGTATTCTAATTTTTCAAAATTTACAGTTTACTCCCCAAAATTTTCAAAATTTTCATTTTAGTCCTCTGGATTTGAAAATTTTACGAATTAGTCCAAATATTTTTTAGAATACGCAGCTCGTTCCTCTCATCATCTGCAATTATGAATTTATTTCAACATTTTCATCTTTCACTGAATTTCTTAAAATTGACGCCTTGTTCCTGAAGTTTTAAAAATTTATAGTTTGGTCCCTAAATTTTCAAAATTTACAGTTTGGTCCATGAATTTTCAAAGTTTTGAAATTTGACCATTTATGTTCAAAATCTGTTAGATTCTCAAACGAGGTTATATTCAGCCACATAACATGATATCATGTGCTTTGTTTATTATTTATGCTATGCAATATTTTGCACCCCTAATGGGAGATATTTCTACGACATACATTGACAATTGCCATTTTAAAGAGACAATTTTCCCGCCGTTAAGGGGGAGATAAGAAGCCGGTTCTTGTATAACGGCGTGAATTATATGAAATGATCTTTGTCTCATCTAGATTTGTGCATGAAAATATTAAGCACAAAAGAAAAAAGAATTCAATTGCAACAATTTTAATGTGTAAAATGAAAGATGCATTTATCGATAAAATGGCAACTTAAAAGTATTACATATGTTGCAAATGAGTGCACGAGAAAATGTCCAAGAAGGACACATTGCACATTAGATTTTGCCATGAAAGGCTTAATAAACGAATGTCATCGAAGGACAAATTTCACATTGTGATTGCATCGTGAATCCTTAAATGGGTAAAAAATGATTATGGTACACAACTAACCAATCTTAATTTATGCATATAAGAGGGGGAGATATATATGTTGGTTCGAATGATTAACACACTTATAAGTGGTGTGAATATCGTTCAATTAAAGTCTACTAGCGCTAGTAGCATCATACTCTCATCATATTACTTATCTCATTAATGAAAGGATTCGTCTTAAAGACGATGTTGGGGGACGCCTCAACACCAATATCCATTGCTATGATTTGAGAAATTTTTGCCAATTATGGTGGCATAAATGAAATACATATTTGGATGAGAAAACCATTAATGATTACACGGTAGCTATCGAAATCATTTAAATCGAACCATTATGTGCCAATAAAGAGTTGATTGGCAAATGAATCATGGTTAGCTTGTTCTCTAAGTGAATAGAGAGACATTTGAGACCATTAGTTCTCAATTTTGTTGTTGTACCGATATAATATCTTAAAGAATTGAAAATTATTTTCGAATGAATATTCATGTACCAAATTGAATTTGTTAATATTGAATTTGAAAGTGGACAAGTAGTCCTCAATACTCCCTCCAAATTGTGAAACTCAAAAGCGCGCGTTTTATCCATGAAGGACATTCTTATTGAAATAAATAATGAGCTCACGCACATAAAGTATTATGAAAAACTTTATTGATGCAATATAGAAAATTCTCTATAAGAGAAAAATACATGGTACATGAAAAGATATGGATCTCAAGAAGAGATTGTACCCACAAAGGCTACAATCCCCATTTATATGAATATAATTCTCTAAGGAGAATCCGGTACCGGAAAGTGAAATAGTGAGCTCTTGATTGATTATAAAGAAATATGGGGAGAACTAAAAATGTTATCGAATAACTATATGTACAATTATTTTTATAATGTGAAGAGCTTGAAGCTCATACATTTTGATAGATGTCGACATCTAATTGGTTATTAGTATATGCATTCACAACTGCAATTGACCATGATTATTTGAAATTATTGATGAAATGAATTGTACATTGACTTGCGGTCATCACACATAAAGTTGTGAAAGCCTTTAGTACAAAAGTGGGTAAAATCATTGCGATAAATTTGAATGCCTTTGAAAATATATTTTTATGATGCAATCACTTTATGATGGTATTCAAAATTATTTGACATGCACCATATGGATGCAATTACCGCATATTTATATGGATCATAGCTTTTTATTTCAAAGAATTGGAAATGCTTGAAGCATATAATAAGAGATCTCATGAGTTAGACTCTACGAATGATCCATTCAAGAATATGGTATTGTCACCTTAGTTAATACATTGTTTACAGAAGGAATAATCAAATAAATTGATTTCCATTATCATTTGGTGCGAATTAAATCTTGTGGAGAATCATGAAGAGCTCACAAAGATGGTCAATTATTTGGTGACATAATTTGAGATGAAAAAATATTGGAAGGGCAAAATGCATCTCGAAAAGAAGATCTATTTGAGTGATTGATAAGTGTTCGTTTTGCACGATTTTTGCTTATCAATTCTTCGAGTTTTGGTCTTCGTTCGTCCCAGTTTTCGGCTTTATTTGTATATATTATGTTGTTTTTATTTTATTTATATTTTAGGTAAAGAGAAGCTATTTTTGCCGATTCGAAACGATTTTGGAAGCGAAGCCGAAAATCAAACCAAACACGTGCAAAGAATTATTGAAGATTTCTGAAGTACTCGAGAGTTAAAGAACAAATATGACATTGACAATTATTGATGACAATCAAATAACGAGTTTGCAAATTCATACGTCAGGGATCTTACTCCAGTGTCTCATGCTAAAATTAGGGGGAGCATGATCTACAACATTGGAATGTGTCGGCTTAACGATCTATTGCCAGCATCAGGGGGAGTGTGATTAATAACCCAACACTGTACTCTTTTTCCTTCGACCAAGTTTTTATCCCAATGGGTTTTTCTTGGCAAGGTTTTAACAAGGCAGTGTATCACACTCTCAATTGTCATAGACATCCAAGGGGGAGTATTATGTAACCTATGGTGGATGTCTATAGGAGTTACAAAATCATTAGTGAGTGTAATTAGAGGTGATAATGGTGAATGTTAAGGCCATTCATTCCCTTGTAACTCATGACCTTTTGAATGGTCTTCTTGTACTATAAAAGGGACACCATTGTATGGAGTTGAAAGACACTTGAATAAGAATACAATACATACACACACTTGTTCTCTTCTTGTCTTTCCCTTGTTTTATAACATATCTTACTTATTTTAATCAAACCATAGTTAACTTTATTTTATTATTTACTAAGGGATTATTAGCAAGACCCCCTCATTTAGGAAATGTGGTCAAGGAAAACCCTCCTCCCAAAAATAATTAGAGAAAACCCATTTTCCTTTAAAACAATCCTACCAAAAATTTAAATTGTCCATTATACCCTTTAAGAAACCTAATTTTATTTTTCATTTTATTTCTTTTTTCATTTATGTCGTCTCTTTCATTTTCAACCTCTTCCACAGATCCCACATGAACCCAAAGACCACCACTTCGAATCGACTGCTAGACTGCCTACTTCCACGGTGGCTTGCGGCGACGGTGGCCTCCTGCTAGGGAGGATTGCGATGGATCAACTGGCGCCAACGTATCTATGCTTGGTGCTGATGGTATTGTAGTTGTGGCGGCGATTTTGGGTGGAGGATTGCGATGGGTCTGTTGCCGGCGGCGTATGTGTGCGTGGTGCTGATGGTAATGATGGTTGTGGCGGCAGTTTTGGGTGGAGGATTGCGATGGGGTCTGTTGGTGGCGGCGGTTTTGGGTGGAGGATTGCGATGGGTCTGCTGGCGGCGGCGGTTTTGGGTGGAGGATTGTGATGGGTCTACTGGCGGTGGCGTGTGTGTGTGTGGTAGTGATGGTTATGGCGGCGTTTTTTGGATGTTGGGTTGGTGGGAGCGTGGCAGAAGTGCATGTTTATGTGAGAGAGTTTGTAGTTTGACTAGACATGCTCAACCAACTGTTGTATTTTTATTTGGGTACAATAATGAAGGTGTACCACTTGGTGGCATTCTGTATGCTTTTCTGGTTCTTCTCTTGATGCTTTTGTCTTTGCTATATATGTTAGGTGTCTGTTGAGTTATTATCGGTTGGAGGAGAGTTAGTGGCAAAATCGAGTCATCTGTGTATAGTGCAGTTTAGAATTTGGCAAGTGAGCCGAACTTGAACATTTCTAAGCAAATCTAGAGCTTTTTGGGTATATTAAATAGAGGACGGTGTTGGTTGGTGTGGTGGCGGTGTGGTGACGATGGGGAGGCAGATTGGGCGGATTCGCGCAGACTGGAATCTTAATTGACTATGTACATGTTCAATAGTCGATTAAGCCAATCGACTATGCTATGGTTGTGACGCCCACTATCGAAATACACTATTTTTTTTTATATAAAGGAATTCTATGACTACTAATTAATACAACTACTTCAACTTAACTACTCAACATTAAAATCAAATACAAGTGGCAATTAAAGCTTACAACTAATCTCGTATACATAGTTCTTGAATTACAACCATTCTTAAATACAACATTACTTGATTAAACTCTATAAAACTTCCAAGTAACTTTACTCCTAAGTGCAGTCAACACAATCGTCCACTTATGCACCTGACACTGAGAATAAGAAAGAAAATAAAGGAGGAGTAAGTCCAAATGGACTTAGTGAGGAGCACAAGGGAAAAACAGTCTAATAATAATCACAATATAAGTGTTCAAGGAATTGAAGTTGGAATTGGACCATTTATCAATTATGAATTTCGTGGAGATTCCCACGATAACAATTTCGGGTATCAAACATGAGACCATGGAGATTCCCATGGTAACAATTTGTTCATGTACCTGTACCTGCCTTGTGACTCCCTTAGTCGTTACTACCTTATAACCCCGATCAGGGAGCTACCCTGCTAATCGATCAATAGGCATGCCCGGGCGCATGCCGATCCATCCATCAGCACAGTTAACCTCCAACTATGCTAATGGTCTAGATCCAATATGGGTACTGTCGAAGAGACCATCCACCGTCGGCCCAATACCGCCCAGCAGTCTTTTTCGAACAGCCCCGGGCCCAACTTGTCAATTATCCTTAGGGCGTCCCCAAAGGAATCAATAAGATAGAGATACGGATATGCTTCCGACTATCTCAATTTACATTTGAATCCCAATAATGAATTCCACTTTGGAAAGAACCAATATCACAGTTCAACGATTGTGGGATTCCAATAACAAGTGATAATGTCTTGTGGTCACAAAACCACAAGTCAAGAAGTGTACGATCAATGGTTTCAATATACGAGTGACCACAATTCAAGACTATATAACAACGATTCAAATAAAAGTAGGACAATAACGATTTCGATAATAATTGGTGAAAATGGATCTCGATCAACAATATTCTACGGTTAGAATTGAACCCGTAGAATTGTATAGCTCGAAAGACACGTGGTTTCAAAAGATCATCGAGAAGTCAAGATATGAACGATCCATCAAATCACCGTAGGTACGAAAAGAAAGATTTAGTGGATAAATACAATAATCCTAAATGGTCCAAGAGTCGGGAAAAGAACGATTTGCGTTCAATGAACCACTTTAGAAACAAATCATACTGAATCATAATAGAAGAAGTGGTTCCAACTAGTATACAAGGCAAGATGTCAAATGACTCAAAATTGATAGAGAATCATATTGAAACTCGTTGAATTATTCAAGGTCGATAAATGAACTCAATTGAGTAATCAAGGAATCGGGATGAGAAATTACTCGAATAATTCCCGAATCAAGATGAGAGGTTATTAAGTTCCATGAAGAGGATTTCGAATCGATCAAAGATTTCAATAGCTCAAGAATTAATGATTCTCGGAAATCAAATTAGTTCACAAGATAGGTGACAATATATTTAATTTAAACGAAGAGTAATAACTAAAATAAACCGAACAATACGAGTGATCGGCATATATCCTGTTTTTCAGAAAGAATAGGCAAAGGGATAGGGATCCTCACCTGAAGTCCAATGCAAGTGCTACAAAAACACCTTACTCTCGAGTCATGCTCAAGCCTTGAGTGAGTGAGAGTTTTACTATGCTCAACACCTATACAAATATTCATCACTTAATATGATTTACATAGTCAATTTCTTGAAACATTTATTAAGAATTTCTTGTCGCCACGGCGAATTCTAACAATCACTACGATCACCGTACTTATCCGAATAGCCTAAACTATATATCAAATTAAAGATAACAACTTCATCTACAAGTTCACTTTAGAAACCAACCCCAAATTATCGACCTAACACAGCAGTAACAGCCCCGGAAAAATGCTTGCATGAAACTGCCAGGTTTTTAAACAAATGCATTCGCTGGCACTGTTTATTCGAAAAATCATAACAATTGGTACGATTATCGGAATGAGGAAATCAATATGCCAAATGAAAGATAACAGCTGCATCTACATGTTCACTGAAGACTCTGATCACAAATTATGATCGCAACATATTCAAAACAGCCCCAAAAGATGATTACAGAAAACTGCCAGAATTTCGGATAAATTCTCTTTTCTGGTACAGTTTATTGTAAAATCCATAACTATTTGTAAAGTTGTCCAAATAATACACAAAATTGAACCTCAAAATGTAATCTACAAGTTCTTAGAAGACACATAGCCTAAATTATTAGCTCAACATAACATAAACAGCCCCGTAAAACGAATCCTCAAAACTGCCCTGTTTACAGGTTTACTGTCATCTGATTCGGACCTCTAATCAGCTATAAAAAAATACTCTAATTCGATACAATTTAACACTTACTTATAGTTTTCGAGGTCCTCTACGAGTTTTGTGAAGGAATTATTTCCAAACCCTTCGATTTTGGCTCCGAAAACAGGTGCGGCAGCAGATTTCATTATAGGTCCAGCGAGCAGGCTGAACTTCTCGCCCAATTCCGGCAACCACCGACGATTAATACTACCGAGCTCCAACACCAATGGAAAGCTAACATCTCAAGGTTTCTAACCGTGTGTCCTGATCGTCAATATTCAACCTTTAAGGCCTCCGAGCAATTAATTCTTCAAAGGACCAAAAGCTGAAATTCAGATTTTGGACAGCTTATCTTCTTCACCCGATTCCGGCGACCATACCTGATCGTTGTAGCCCCTTGCTAAAGCCTTCTTCACGCAACCCTAATTCTGCCAATAATGTGAATTGGGTGGGATTTCCCGATTAAAACCTCAAATTCCTTTCCTATACCCCACTCGACCAAACCTCGTTCCTAAATTCGACTTTTTTTTTTCTTCAATCAACTTCCATGATTTCAGCCAAGGATCGAGAGAGAGAGAGAGAGAGAGAGAGAGAGAGAGAGGAAGAGAGAGCGGGCGAGAGAGATGATGAGAGAGAGCGAGAGAGAGAAAGGATTTTGGAGAAGAGGACCTTTTCTTCTTTCATGATTCTTTCTACACACTCAATTTCTTAGAATTGTTTTGGTTAATAACATTCAATTATCCGATTAAACAAGCCCCTCAATTGCTTAATGGCCAAGTTACTAAATTATAAAATTATTATTATGCTTATGCCCCAAAATTATTACATAATAACACATCAGCCCCTAATTCTCATTATAAAGTACAATAAACTCTCGCATAAATTACGGGGTGTTACAATGGTAGTCGATTAAGTTTGATCGACTCCAATTTTTTATGTTTTATTTTGATTTGTTTTTATTGATTCCAGTTATATAAATCAATTATAATGTTTGTATATTTTTTTTGTTTTTGTAATATATAGTTGATTTTGTATTTTTTGTACAGTTGTGATTTGTTATTTTTAGTAGCAGATTCTTAATCGACTATGCTTCACATCATAGTCGATTAATATACCTGATATAGAAAAAAAAATTAAAAAACAAAAAAAAAATTAAAAATTAAATAATTTCCTTAATCGACTATGAAGCATAGTCGATTAAGGCTAATCGACTATGCTTCATAGTCGATTAAGAAACTGATACAGAAAATACGGGAAAAAACGGGAAAAAAAAATCACTGGAGCGCGTGACCCAACTGTGATGAGGTGGCGGGCGGGGGTAAAGCTGGGAAATACAATGGCTGAAATTGGAACATGGGCTTTTCTCAAATGGTCTAAAATATTTTGGGTCTATCCCCATTAAAAAAAGTAATGGGGTTATGTCACAGAGCCCCTACTTAGAAATTCAAAATTTGATATAAATTGGGAAACTATGGGCGGGTGGTATGATTCAAACCCTAGACATTTACTATAATAGTAGAGGTTAGTACTATAGTTAAACCTTTATCGGGACCAGCCAAATTCTATAAATTGAGCGAAATTTTAATCTAACAAAATATTTTTTAAACACGTTACCTTCGAGTCGGAACCGAGAAAATATATTATTTAAACGAGGTTATGCATTTACCGAGTATTAATTTATCGAGGTTGTACTGTAATTCTCTTAAAAGATTCATCTTTTACCTTTGTTTATGGGTTAAACAAAAATAAAAGTTACACAATCATATTTGGACTTACTAATTCGAAGAAAATTCAAGCGAAAGTTAGTCTGAATCGAAAAGGTTAGGAGAATCTGTACAATTTTCAAATATTATGTTATCTTGCATTTTAGGGAGTTTTTTCGTTGGACATTTCAGGGTCCGATAAAATGATTGGGTTTTCATTAGGCTATTTAATCTTATCTTGACTAACCTTATTTTGGTAATCAAACGAGGCCTAAGCAAACGAATACAAATATGAGCCGACAACCGGAAAACCACAATCACAAAAACATGAAACAACGAATATCATTGGTGATGGAGCCCATTTGGACCCCTCAAGTATTTGTGTATATTTGTATGTATACTTATGCTTGTCTGTGTAGGAGGTGTGAGTGTGTGTTTTCCTCTAGTTTTTCTCCTTCCTTCTCTTAGCCGAAAACTCCCCTCTTATCCCCTTATCTGTATTGGGGCGCGTGCCATTTTATTGGGCTGATCTTGGGCCTAGGCAGAGAAGAGAGGGGTTTATGGTGAACTTTTGGGACTCGGAAAATCTGCCCGGTCAATTGGGAGGACAATGCAGGACAATGCAGACACCCAATTTTTTTAAAAATGAATGCCATTTAAAAAAATGGAATGAGATGTAAAATTGAATCTCATGTCCAAAGAGTAGAGAAGAAAAGGCTTAATGAAAAAGTTATAAAATAAAAGGGAACACAAGTAAAAATATTTTTTGAATTGAAAATTTTACCCTCGGAACTCATTTATCTTAATAAATCTCTCGAAGAATTAATGTAATCAATGTTTTAATAAACATAATGCAGGTCTAATAACAATTAAGTCACATAACATATAGTTAGTGGTTTCTTTCCTTTTTGTTGGTACAAAAATAATTTGGTAAGATTTGAAACAAAAAGGTGAAGCTGAATCTTTAATAGCCAAACTAATCGATGCAATGAACCGCAACGGCATTGCCCGAGCGGTATCAAGGTGGCGAGGGTAGTGTTAAGCCACGTGTTCTGTTCCCATTGGATTCAGTTGTAGGTCGAATTTTAAAGCCAATTAAAAAAAAAAAAGACTAATCAAATAATCAATGCATGGAGTTTGTATAGTCTTATCCTTTAACTGGTGGCCGGGGAACGGGAAATAGAAATTCAAGAAGAAAAGAAACTAATTAAACTTGACAAGCCGAAAATAAATAATTTAAATTTTCGGCACAACTTTCTTCATCATTTCTAAAAGAACATCATTTTTTTTGGATCCTTGCAAGTGATTAATTAACATGGACGAAGTAGATGCGTCGGCTAAGAATCCATTTTTGTGCATGTCCTCTAAGAATGGCATTGCCTTGTCAAGCTCTTTCTTCTTCAACAAGCAATGAATAACGATGTTGTATGTCATGCTATCCGGTGCACAACCACTTCTCTCCATTTTTATAAGCAAATCTTTTGCCTCCTCTACGAACCCTTCTTCACAAAGTGAACCAATAATGGTAGCATATATGTGATTATCGGGTTTCAACCCTTTGGAAGGAAGTTCGTTTAAAAACTTTTTTGCATCTTCAAGTTTCCCATCTTTGCATAAACCATTAATCAGGATACCGTATGTGATTATATTAGGACTTAATCCTTTGTCTTCCATCACCCGTAGAAATGAAAATGCTTCGGCAATCTGATGAGTCTTGCACAAGCCTTCCAACAAAATATTGTAAGTACGTAAATCGGGACGTACATGCCGAGCTTCCATATCCTTATAAAGTTTCCATCCATCAGCGTTTCTACCTTCACTTAATAATCCGTGTATCATGATACTATATGTAACTGTCGTGTGCTCTAAACCTTTAGAAGATGCTTCGAGAAAAAGACGCCAAGCTTCATCCACTTTACCATTCTTGCAATACCCGTTGATTAAAGAGTTATAGGTGACAATGCATGGCTTAAGCCCCTTGCTCGTCATGGAATCAAATACCTCTTTCGCTTTATCCATTTTCCTGTGCAAACAATACCCATCTATCAGTGCAGTGTAAGTGAAAATATCGGGACTAATATTTTGTTTCTTCATAATTTCCAAAATATCCTCAGCCTCTTTAGTATTTCCTTCTTTGCAAAAAGCGTCCACCAGTATACTAAAAGTAACAACATTTAACGGAATCTTGTGATTCACCATTTCATTTAGTAAGTGTTTCACCTCTTTCCATCTACCGAAATCGCACAAGCCCTGAATCATCGAGTTATATGTGACAACGTCAGGTGAAATGCCCTTATCAAACATTCTAGACTTCAGCTCAAGTGCATTATCCACCATTCTGACTTTACAGAAGCCATCAATTACGGCATTATAAGCCATAACATTGGGTTTATAGATAGTCTTTTCCAATAACAAAAGCAAATCATGCGCAGCAAGAACGTGTCCATTTTTGCAGAGCCCGTTTATCACAGTGACAATTGTAAAATCATCGGGTTCACAAAGTCTCAAAGTCAAAAGCTGCTTAAACAATTTCTCTGCCTCGGCCACATTACCATCTAAAAAGAGCCCTTTTAAGAGGGTGGTGAATGTCGTCACATTTGCCTCGTAACCGTGTTTAAAGAAATAGCCGAAGATAGCAAAACCAACGTCTAAACGTTTCAAATTGCAGCAACAATTAATCAAGATGTTCATTGTGTACTCATCTATAGGGGCACCCCATTGACGCATTTCGTCGAACAGGTTAAGGGCAACCGAGTATTGTTTCAAATTGACAATAACTTGCAATTGTTTGGTGAATTCAAAAATGGGGGGCTGCCGCCGCATTCTAACCATTTTTCGAAACAAGAAAATAGCTTCATCTACTTCATTTGCACAGCTCAAATCTCTTCCGAGGTTAGGTGAAAAAAGTCTATCTTTGCTATGAAAATTTGAAGAAAAGAAAGAAAGCCGATCAGCAAAAATACCGTAGTAATAAGTAGAAGATTTAGCAGAAATTGCTCTGCGAATAGCCGCTCTTCCATAAATCCTCATCTTCTTAAAGAGATTTTTGTGAAGAAAATTCTACTCAAATGCAGAGAGTCTGTTGTTTGATGTGCTCTGGACTACTCCCTCGAGAAATGGTTATAATTGGCTAACTATCACTTATTCATGGGTAAATAGCACTTTACCCCATGTGGTTTCAACTTATTGCACTTAACCCCCTGTCATATCAATTTAGGCATTTTACCTCCTTGTGGTTTGCACAATGTAGCAGCCGCCAGTTTAGCTGTTAAATGGTAACATTTCTAATATACCCTTCTAATTTTTTACAATTTACATGTCAAATCAAACCTCTTTATCCGAGTTAATTTCACTTAACCCCTTGTGTAATGTCTAATTATCGGATAAGTTCTCGTGTTAAAAACAATTAGCAATTACCCCTATGTTTCATTTATTTAGCCCACCGTTCCTTGAACGAGATAAATCCGTTGACTTGAAAGGAAATGAGCAAACTACCTCTAATTAAATGTACAAATAAATAATAAAATATAATTAAAAGAAGCATAGAAGAGAGAAGTGTCTTGCCCGTTCTTCCTCTATAATCTGCATCTTCAGCTCTGCCAACTTGCCATCTTCATCCCTTCGACGCCATGCTCCATCTCCGCTATCATAAAAAACTATATTTTTCTTAGAAAAGAAACGCTTCTATCACTAAATTATTCGATCGATGGATCTTTTATTGTAGCTGGTTGAAAATATTAGGTAAAAATATTTGGAAGAAAATATGATTTTCAGATAACTTGATAACAGAATAGTTGAACGATTTTTTTTCGTAGAATATTTTATTTTGATAAAAAAAATATAATTTTTAAATGGGATAATTTTGTAGACCCCCCTCATTTCCAAATTAAATAGAACTAACTACCAAGTGGATTGCATCCCAGGGGAAACCCCCTCATTTCGAAAATATTTTGATATACCCCCTTGGGATACCCTGAAGTTCCTATAATACCCTTCTAAAATCAGTTTTAAACCCTAGCCACTCACGGTCTCTCTCTTCTTCTCCCAGATTCAAAATCCCGCCTTCACAAACCTCCCACCGGCGAAATTGCTTCCCGGAGCCATAACTCTCTCTCCGGTGGTCGGAATTCGATGGTTTAACTACCGTTGGATTCCTCTCGTCGAGCTCCTTCTTTTGGTGGTGATTTCATTCAGTTTTGAGCGCTGATCTGTTTCTGCAATTTTTTTTCATTCGAGGACGGTGGTCTTGCCGGAGCTTTATTTTGTGTTCCACCCGTCGAAATTTGACGGGTCACCCACCATTGGATTCCTCTCATCGGGATCTATATTTTCATGGTAATTTCGTTTATTTTTATATTTTCAGATTTATTTCTATATTTTTTTGCATTTGTGGGCGCGCGGAACCGTGAGTGGTTATTAGCGGCGTCTAGGGTTTTGGTAGGAGGCGAGGGGGTGAGGAGTCACTGTCTGTTTGATTTAAAATCTGTAGCATTTCCCAGCAATAACCTCTCTCTCTCTATCTCTCGATCTCTTAGTACTGTTTGTTGATTTTTTAGTGTTTTGATGTTTGTCTTCAAATTTTGTTGATTTGCACTAAAGTAATTTCCTTTTGTTTTGATTTTGCAATTGCAGCTTAATGAAGGCCATTGATCCTTTCCTTGAAAGAGTCAAATTTTTTTTTTTGAAGTTACATCTGATTTGTTCAACAAACTGTATACATTACTATAGTAACATGTAGTTATATATGCGTATATTTGTGTATTTTCGATTTGTATTTGATTTGTATTTTATTGGTTCTGATGTGATTTATAATAAAAATATTGAAATTTGTAAATTTTTGTTGGGGTTTTATGAATTTATTTTGTATAAGTCAGTATTCATGTGTATATACAATTGATCGACTAAAAACATGGGGAAAAAAAAACGAACATAACTATGAATTACTATAGGTACTATAGTTACATGTAGTTATTTTCAGTACTGTAAACATATTATTTTGAAAATTAAAAAAGAAAAATTAAAAAAAAAATTATTATTTTTAATTTAAAAAAAATAAAAAAAATAAAAAAATAAAGATATATATATATATATATATTTTAGAACTATATATATGTACATCTTTCCTGTTTGTCCTCCTTAATTTTATTTTTCCTTTTGTTTTGACACTCCAGGCCCATAAACGACGCCGTTTTATTTCCCTGATCCAATCACATGGCAGATTTCTTTTCTTTTCCTTTAATTTTCAACCAGCTCGAACCTTTTCGATGTTTTTACCATAGAAAAGTTTGGGTCCATTTTTTAAAGTTATCATCTCAATTATTACTGTTTTCGGGGCTATTCGATTTCAAGGAATAACAAATTCCGGCAGCTGAATCCCCCCACCGCCCATCGGTATTTTCCGCTGCCGCTAACGCATCTGGGCTCCGCGCAGCTGCTTATTCGGGCCTCGTGGCCGTTGTTTATCTTTTCGGTACATATTTTTACGGCTTTCATGTATGTACTACCTGAGAAGTGCCTCGACAAAGGGCGTCAAGTTACAGCAATCTTAGAATTTTCACACTTTAATTAATATATAATCTGAAACTTGCGTGTGCATCTCTACGGTAGCTATTGGGATTGTGTGATTTTATTTTTTGCTGTCAAGAATACACTCTGCTTTGAAGATTCAACACCGTGCGATCACAACCCTAGAGAGGCGGTGGCCATGGTGATTAGTAGGTAATCTGAAAATTAAATCTAGAGAATGGAATTGGTGGAAGCCAAAAGGCCGCGGGCCGAGGGCGAATTTGTTCAGGCGAGGGATTCGTCGGCGCAGGCAACGGTGTCTAGGTTTTCGCCCACAATTGTTGACTGTCGCCCGCCGCCCCTTCTTCCGCCATCCGCCGCCGCTTTCTCCGATATCCGCCGCCGCCTCGTTCGATGCACGCCCGCTGTCACCTTTCTCCGCATTTTTCATCCAATACTTGACTGCGCCGCCCTTTTTGTCCATATCTTGAATTTGTGGAATGTAATTGGCATCATCTTCTTTTTACTGTTTCTATTTACTCCATATTTTGTGTTTCTAGATTCTCCTCTAATTTTTAATTTGATTTCGTTATTAGCAAGGAGCAGCAGAAACCACAAATAATTCGACCATGAAGCTATTGAGGCTGTTATGAGTTGAACACTTTGTTCACTTCTCCACTTCTCATAATCGCGAGGTATTTTACCTTTTTCTTTTTTTTCCTTTTCTTCCCCATTTTGTACTGGTTTTCTAGATAAGAATGGAGCAACCCAGATTTTGTATTCGAAGTTGTTTCCCTTTTCTTTGTGGATTCTAAGCAGCTTCTCAACAATTTTGCGATTGCCCTGTGAGTTTCATTTTCTTTCTCTCTGTTATTTTGTTTTTGCTTTCTCGTTGGTGATAATGTTTTTCTTTTTCATTTAATACCAATTTTCAAATTACGTGGTCAATAACAGGTTTTATTTTAACCAGGATGATGCTCATCTTCACCACTTCAAAGGTAGCAAGCACTTCCAGATAATAATTTGTGTCTTTGTTGTTTCGTTCTTTGTGTGTGTGTGGTTTCCTTATCGTGGAAAAATATGAGGTCTTTTCTTCTGTCCTCTTTTTTTATCTATTATTTGATATACTCCAGGAAAATTCTAGAAGTTAAATTTCCTGACCTTGAGGGTTTTTGGGTTTAAAACACCCAAGGTGCACAGAGGGTGAATAATTTGTTTGTTGCCTTCAGAAACTTCTGTGAAGAGAAGAACTTCGACGGGTGAGTTCAACCTTATTTTAATCAGAAATTATCAATCTATCGATGAAGTTGTCTATTTGCACATGATATTGGCTGGTATATTGCTGACAAATTATGTACTACAAATTAGCTATGTTAGTAGTTGTGTTGTGCCTAATGAATTATCTATATGCTACCGATATGAACTGTTCTTTTTTGTTTTACTAAAAGGTAATTTCTTTGATAAATTGGGAATATTTGATCATATACTTTTTCAGCAAGGCCAATTTTGGCGAGCAAGAGCTGTATATCTTTAGCAGGAGAGAGCGGAAGTACCCCAACGACTAAAGGCCAAATCAGGCCACAAAGTCGGGATACTGGAAAGCCACTTGTATACGATATCACCCGATTCTGTTTATTACAAGATATCAAAACAACCAAGTGAGCTTGGGTATTTAAATTTTTTTCTTGCTCATTGAGTAATTTTGATATTTTTTTTGTTTGGTTAGCGCATAGCCTTTATCGTTGGCATATGGTTGTAAATAAGTACATTTCTTTATCCAATATCATTTTTTAAATGTATAGGGAGTTGCGGAAGGTTTGTTTTCGTTATGCACTTTTGCTATTTACAATTTATTCTATGAAATCGTAATTGTTGATTGTTTTTTGTATGCGAATCTGCCAAGAGGGAACAAGTTCTTAAAAAACTTTAGCAGGTATTGTTGCTACTTTATGATGGTGTTTGTGGTGCTACTGTATCAATATGTACAGTAGTTGATTTCATGTATTCTTTTATTTTCCCTTTCTTTTTTTGGCCGCTTTCTAAAATTTTCATGTAGATTAGACTGAGTAGTAAATTGATTTTCCGCTTTCTTTCCCGGTTTGGGAATGTGAAACCTTGAAACACAGATAATAAAGTCTTTCCTGATATGTTCCACAAGAATTTTGCAGTAAAAGTTTGCATTGCTATCTGAATTTTGCAGGGAAATTTTCATCTTATTGCACCGGCACTGCCCCATATGCGGTACTCTACCTCCAATAGTTCACCGCGGCATGATCACTAGGTAAATAGTTATAATTGTATGCCTTTGCTGAAACATCTCTGATTTTGTATACTCTTTATGTGGTTTTGATGTATTTTTTTGTGAGGTTTGGAATTTCTTATTAGTCACAAAGACGTGGATGTTTGAAAGTTTGAATAGAAGTACATTGTCGATCCATCACTTTTATAAGAAACATTTTTGTTTGCTTCCGCTTTATTCTGGACTTAGTTTGTATTATCTACTTTCGTAACATTTTTATTGTAGAACTTTCCAAAGTATATCGAAAACACAACATAATCCACTAAGTTCTCGTATTCGCCAGAGGCACCGGGCACTGGGCACCGCGCCTTGCGCGGTGCACTACAACTAGTATATATATATATTTAACAAGCAGGTTTAAAAAAAGAAAAGAAAATAATAATAAATAAATCAGCGAAAATGATAAATGCAGGACCATATATGCTGATGCAGTTTGGCCGAAAATTGCATATAAGGGTAATATAGTACTTTCGCTTCTCCAGGGGTGTATGTCAAAGAATGATTTGGGCTTGGGTTTATCCCTAGTTTATTTGGTGGCTAGGGGGGTATGTAAAATAACCCCTTTTTAAATATGTTGATGAAATGCATTTTATTTTTGCACTTTATAGTTTGAGAATGATTGATGAATAAAATAAATATTTGACATTTGGCATTCTAAAAAATATGACTAAATGCATTAAATTACATTTTTTAGCTTTACAAATGCATTTGAGGTGCATTATGCATGAATTATTGTGTTTCGAGGGTGCAAAATGCTATTAATTTGTTTCGAGGATGCAAAGTACCAAAGTGTACAATTTTCAGAGGTAGAGGAGGAAATAGGGTATGTAGGTGATTCTGAAACTGAATGCGTGCATGATGATGACCACTCTGATCTTGAGGCTGGTATCAATATTGTCCATATTGACCTTTGGGCATTATTTTTCTTGTTATTCATATTGACCTTTGGGCATTCTTTTTCTTGTTATTTTCTTTTCATTTTCTGCTTGCATTTTTTTGTTTTTTGTATGAAAGAAAATAGTAAAGCGAGAAATTCAGGTTTATTCCAAGTGTAAGGAGACAAAAGAGTGAACTGAAAAATACACATTTTGTTTGATATCTCCAATAACTTATCGGGTCGACATACAAAAATTATGTTATCTTGCATTTTAGGGAGCCTTTTCGTTGGACATTTCAGGGTCCGATAAAAATAATTGGGTTTTCATTAGGCTATTTAATCTTATCTTGGCAACAAAACGAGACCTAAGCAAACAAATACAAATATGAGTCGACAACCAGCCAACCACAATCACAAAAACAGAAACACGAATATCATTGGGAGGACAATGCAGAAGCCCAAATAGAAATTCAAGAAGAAAAGAAAAATCAATGATGACCAACAAGTCATTTTCAATATTCCAAAAAACTAATTAAACTTGACAAGCCGAAAATAAATAATTTACATTTTCGGCACAACTTTCTTCATCATTTCTAAAAGAACATCATTTTTTTTGGATCCTTGCAACTGATTAATTAACATGGACGAAGTAGATGCATCGGCTAAGAATCCCTTTTTGTGCATTTCCTCTAAGTATGGGATTGCCTTGTCAAACTCTTTCTTCTTTATCAAACCCTGGATAATGATGTTGTATGTCATGCTATCCGGTGCGCAACCACTTCTCTCCATTTTTATAAGCAAATCTTTTGCCTCGTCTACGAACCCTTCTTCACAAAGTGAACCAATAATGGTAGCATATATGTGATTATCGGGTTTCAACCCTTTGGAAGGAAGTTCGTTTAAAAGCTTTTTTGCATCTTCAAGTTTCCCATCTTTGCATAAACCATTAATCAGGATCCCGTATGTGATTATATTAGGACTTAATCCTTTGTCTTCCATCACCCGTAGAAATGAAAATGCTTCGGCAATCTGATGAGTCTTGCACAAGCCTTCCAACAAAATATTGTAAGTACGTAAATCGGGACGTACATGCCGAGCTTCCATATCCTTATAAAGTTTCCATCCATCAGCGTTTCTACCTTCACTTAATAATCCGTGTATCATGATACTATATGTAACTGTCGTGTGTTCTAAGCCTTTAGAAGAAACTTCAAGAAAAAGACGCCAAGCTTCATCCACTTTACCATTCTTGCAATACCCGTTGATTAAAGAGTTATAGGTGAAAATGCATGGCTTAAGGCCATTGCCCGTTATGGAATCAAACACTTCTTTCGCTCTATCCATTTTCCCTTGCAAACAATACCCATCTATCAACGCAGAGTAAGTGACAATATTAGGATAAATATTTTGTCTCGTCATAATTTCAAAAACATCCTCAGCCTCCTTAACATTTCCCTCCTTGCAAAATGAGTCCACTAATATATTGAAAGTAACAACAGTTAAACAAATCTTTTGGTTGACCATTTCATTCAATAAGTCTTTGACCTCTTTCCATCTACCAAAATCGCACAAGCCCTGAATCATCGAGTTATATGTGACAACGTCAGGCGAAATTCCCTTATCAATCATTCCAGACTTCAGCTCGAGAGCATTATCTACCGTTCCGGTCTTGCATAAGCCATTAATTACCGCATTATAAGCCTTAACATTGGGCTTATAGATACTCTTTTCCAATAACAAAAGCAAATCATGGGCAGCAAGAACATGTCCAGCTTTGCAGAGTCCATCTATCACAGTAAGAATCGTAACTTCATTAGGCTCGCAAAGTTTCAAAGTCAAAAGCTTCTTGAACAATTTCTCCGCCTCGGCCACCTTACCATTTAAAAAGAGCCCTTTTAGGAGAGCGGTGAATGTCGTAACATCTGGCTCGTAACCGTGTTTAAAGAAGACGCCGAAGATAGCAAAACCAATGTCTACACGTTTCAAAAGGCAACAACAATTAATCAAGATGTTCATTGTGTACTCATTTACAGGGGCACCCAGTTCACGCATTTCGTCGAACAGTTTGAGGGCAACCGAATATTGTTTCAAATTGACAATAACTTTCAATTGTTTGGTGAATTCAAAAATGGGGGGCTGCGGCCGCATTCTCACCATTTTGCGAAACAAGAAAATAGCTTCATCGACTTCACTTTCACAGCTCAAATCTCTTCTGAAATTAGGTGAAAAAAGTCTATCTTTGCTATGAAAATTTAAAGAAAATAAAGAGAACGGATCAGCTAAAATACCGTAATAAGAAGAAGATTTAGCAGCAATTGCTCTGCCAATAGGAGGCGTTATTGCAGAAATCCTCATCTTCTTAAAGCGATTTTTGTGAAGAAAATTCTACTGCAACGCAAAATGAAATGTAAAGGCAGAGTCTTGTTGTTTGATGTGCCTTGTACTAGACACCGCCATGGGGCGGGTCGCGTCTGGGTCCGGGTCCGACTTTAGGGGGCGGGTCGCATCTGGGTCCGGGTCCGACTTTAGGGGACGGGAAACCGACCCGTGGGGAGGGGGTCCGGGTCTGGGGCGGGTCCATCCGGATCCGGACCGGGTCCAGGTCGGGTTCGGTTTTCCAATTAATTACAAGAAAAAAAAAACTTAAATTGAAACTTGAAAAAATTTAGATTAACTTTAAATTCAAAAAAAAAAAATTGAATTTAAACACTAAATAATTTTAGAAAAAAAATGAAAAAATTAAGACCTTGAGACATAAACTAAATAAAAAAAAAATTGTGATGATTGGATTACGGGTATTTATAAGTGAAAATAATAATTGAGAAATTTTTCGTAATTTCAGAATTTAAAAGAAATCAAAATTCAATCTTTCGTTTAAATTAAATCGTAATTTTTTATATTTTTCAAATTATATATATATATATATATATATATATATATATATATATATATATATATATATATATATATATATATATATATATATATATATATATATATATATTAAGTATATATATATCTTCATGGCCCCCAAATCCCGCCCCCCTATTTTTCACGCTTTATTTTTGGCCAGTTTTAATCTAAAACGACGCCGTTTGGTATTAATCCACCAACCACAGCCCTTCTTTCTTTTCTTTTTCCTTTTCTTTCGCAAAATGCACGATCGACCTCTCTGCTTCTCTTTTTTTCTTTTCTTTTATTTCTCGTCGGCGCCTACAGTTTCTGACCATCTCCTCCAATCTTATTGACGGAACGGCGTCGCTTTCTTCCGAGAGGTGCTTCATTGATTTATTTTCACTTTTCTTTTACTCTCAATTTTCCTTTTCTTCTTCTGCTTCTTCGTCCACCTTCCGCTGCCCACAATTCTTAATTGCGCCTCCTTCTACCTACATCCACCACATACTTCTTCTCTTCGCATACAATTCTTTGCACCGTTCTCTGTCTTCCGATTTTCTGTTAATTACCAGTCCCACATCCGGCCTACAACTGTTCCCTTCCGCCGCCGCCGCCGCCGGCGGCTTTTCTAGGCTTGCCGGAGCTGCCCCTTCCAACCAAACGCATAGTGGCGCAGGTTCCGGCGGCGTCTACCTACTTTATTTCCTCCTCCGCCAATATCAAGATTTAAATACTCAGAAATCGACAGGTTTTGTGCCTCATATCTCTTTCAAAAATTAGGGAATAATTTTTTTTGATTTTCCGAGTTTGTTGTTTCCGACAAAAATATAGGCATGGGGGGGGTTCTAATTAAGTGAGCTAGGCTTCGTTCCATATTTCGGACTTCGATCGACCGAGGTTGGCTAAAATTTCTCTGTTTTTTTTCGTTTTCTTAAAATCATATTTCAGCCATTTTCCCCCTTCTATCAGCACTAAAAGATTTCTTTTTTAATTTTCGGATTGAAATTTGCAGAGCAGTTCTGGGGATTTTTTCTACTTAGATTTTAGTATTTTTTTTTCTCCCACGCATGTTGGATATTTTGATTGGAGAGGAACTTTTGAAGTTTTGATATGAATATGTGTATGTCTCTACTGTTTCTTAGTTTGAATTATAAAGGAAATTGAAAATATAGCTCTTTAGTCATTTGAGAAAAAATAAAAATTAACTACATTTTATGGTTAATATTGTGGTATATTGAGTAAAAATATTAGAAGGGCAATATGCATGTCTTTGAGGCTGTTGAACAGAGACGAAACCGATTTCAAATCCTAAGAGTACAAAACTCTTGCATTCAAATGGTTTTATCTATTTAAGCTGCTCCCCCCTTTTCTTTCTTCAAACAAGTAGTTAATTTGTTTTTTCGAATTTACTCAATTCTGTCGTAATAGAGATTAGCTCAGTTGCTAGCTGATAATAGCACAAGAGATTATGATTTTTTTTACGAAGAGTACTTCCTCGCATGATGGCAAGAGTGTTGACCGGGAACAAGAACGTAAGGTAATAATAGAGTTGTTATTGAAGCTAAATATATGCACATCAATTGATTATAAAGTTTCTGCTTGGACACCCAAGTATGTCGTTGTTATGTTTCTTTGTAAATCTTCTTTAGGAATATAGCTGTGCATATCTGTATATCCTTACACCATCATTTTACATTTGGTAAAATACAATTTGCATTTTCGTACTCAATTCTCTTATTAAATATGTGCTTCAAGATAATCTGATGATTTTTTCGTTTTTGGCAGTTCAACGAGCTTAAAGCTTCTGACACAGTGGAAGCACCTGCACAAATCATTGGTTCTCAGGCGACTAAAAAAAAGGGAGCTACATGTGTTCTGATTTAAGGAATTGGATAAGAACAGACGTGGGAGGTGAGTTAATTCTTTTTTAGGTCTTAATTTATTTTTTAGTTACACATATAGTAATAGAATTTTATCTATGATCATCTACTTTAAACTATTTTTTTCTTTTGAGCCTATATACAGGTAATTAGGGTGGCAGAACTTTTGGAACAGCAGGATATATTATTCAAATGAGAAAAATGCTGTAATCCGTCAAAGGCTCATATTCTTCGATTGATTGAAAAATGTAGTAATCGTACAAGCAAATGTAAGTTTAATATTCCGATGCATGTGAAAAATTAGTAGACAAACAAATATATTGTTGAGTTACGGGCTTGATTCTGCCAACATATTATGTATGATCTTTTTTGGTATTATATAAGTGCAATCATATCTGATATTGGGTTTTGGTTCGTGCACCCACGAAAAAATGGGCACCAACGCCGCGCCTTGCGCGGCGCACCATTACTAGTATATATATATATATGCATTTGTTAGTACTGGAGATTTTTAATATTAAATCTTAGTTATACAATTATTTTACATAGTTATTTATATTTATATATTTGTAGTTAGGATTAGTATAACAATAAGTAACTTTACTAAACCACTCGGGCCACCCGGGTTCGAACCCCAGACCCGCCATTTTTTGTGTTATTTCACTTAAAATTCGGGTGGACCTGACGGGTACTCGGGTCGGGTCCTCGGGTCTGGGTCCTCGGGCCCCCGGCCGAGTAGACCCGTCGGGTCTCGGGTCCAAAAAACGGGACGTGAAACCGACCCATATTTTGTCGAGTCCGGGTCCATGGTCAATGGGGTGGGGCGGTTTTCGGGTCGGACCGGGTCAAACCCCTCATGAAATGGTTATAATTGGCTAATTACATATAGACCCCTTCAAAATAGTATAATTACAAAGTGTTTTTCTAGACACTTAATGTTGTAACTATCAATCATTGTTCATTACCTCCCCTCTATTGGAGATATTAATATTAAATGATACATTTCACTAACAGCTTAAGCTTTTGGTTGAGATGGTCATTCAACATGGTATCAGAGCCAGGCCAAATGAAAGGTCCTGAGTTCGAATCCCACAGCCACCCATTTAAAAATATTTCAAGTGCAAGGCTTCAAATGTAATTCGCCTGCACTTGAGGGGGCGTATTGGAGATATTAATATTAAATGATACATTTCACTAACAGCTTAAGCTTTTGGTTGAGATGGTCATTTAACACCCTCTAAGTTTTGTTCTTAATTTTTCACTATCGAAATGTATCATTCTGCCAAGATTTTGAACTTAAGTAGGGTCTGCTATTTAGCTGGGGATATTGCTTATTTTGACTATTGTTCGGTAGATAAAATGTGTATGATAGAGATTCTTGAAATGGCTCAAGAGTTAGAGTTAATAGCAGAGATGATTTTAGTCTTATTGGAGACTGATATGAATACACTGAATATGAGCAACCGATGCGGGATATTTTGCGTAGGCCCAAAAGATCTACTATCTACCCTCTTAGATCCAGCTCATTTTTCACTCTTCACTCTCTAAAGTGAGTACAAATAAGAAAATAAGAGATATGTGAACATAGTTCACTAGAGGGATTACCACAAAACCACACATATAAGAAACACACACTACACCAAGAACACACACTCCACACAAATACTCACCAATACACACAAATACACGAGAATACATGTAAATACGACGAGGAGGTCCAAAATGGACCTCATCAACAACTATCTTGATAAGGATAGAGCAACTTCCATTTATGTTCATCATCAAAACTTAGAAGAAAATTCAAGTGAAAGTGGTTAAGCTACTCAATGGTTATTAATCAATCTCGTATTTTAGAGATGCGGAATCCTTTTAACAATTATTTTTCACCTATTAATTCTTAGTATTTCTACCCAATGCACTGGGGTTCATTTGGCTCAGTACATGAATCTCTCCCATTGTGAATTAAAGTAGATCATCGCCGATTAAATATGTGCATTAGTTATCCAGGGACTAACATGTTAAGTAAGTCATTGTAAATTAGAAATAAGATAGTTCCATATTTAATCAGTGATGATACAATTATTTCAATTTGTCCGGTTCAACACACGTCGGGTGCGAGAGCACAATAAGTCAAAACAATAATTACAAAAGTTATTCTCTGTTTACCGTGATGAAGACCAATCACTTAAATATTGTGCTATAATTCCTTACCAATATATAGTCCAATTCCATCTAGATTGTGAGCATTAATCAATATATTCTAAACGAACTTTCGAAATGATCATTTTGTACACCGTAGTACACTATTTCGAATAATAGACTTATACGTTTAATTAATTGACAATTAATCAATATCTAATTAAAACTACTAGAAACACACATGAACAGATTCTCATAAATGACTAAATGAATAAACTTTATTAAAACTTTGATTGTTTAAATAGATAAAAGCGAGAGTTTCAGTCTACTATCCTAACAAGAGAAAGTTAGTTGTGCAACTTCTAAGTGGCTAGCCAACAAGTACAACGATAAGCTCGGGATTAATCATAAATGGCCGATTGTGTCATTGATGATTGTTGTGCAAAAAAATTGTAAACTCTGGTTCAGCAGACATCAATTGTATAGAGCTAAGCGGAAGGTGAAACAGACACCATTTTGATATCTCTTGCTGTATTTTTTTTTTTATTTGTTTACTATTAGAAAACGTTTAATGAATTGACAATTAATCAATATCTAATTAAAAGTACTAGAAATACACATGAACATATTCTCATTAATAACTAAATGAATGAACTTTATTAAAACTCTGATTCTTTATTAATTAAATGATTTTTTTTTCTCCATTTTGAAACAGGCTCGCAGTGGTGGGTGTTTTTATCTCATGGAAGAATGAAGATGAAGCCACAAAGCTTCAATTAATTTCAAATTTGTGAAAGTTTCAAATTAAGTTCAATTGAGTCCCTGGTACTTTCAATTTCACCCCCTTATGATATTTTCAGGTGAAAAGACGAAAAAACCCTTGTACTTTCGCATGTGCATCTCGCATGCGTTGAAAAATGAGAATATTCGCCGGAATATTCCCCTTAGGTGGTTATGTGCGTCAAAAAACAGAGTTTGGGTGGGCGCTTGCAACTTTTTTTAGTTAAGGTGGCAAAATGCAAAAATGGGCAAAGTCCAGGTGGCGAAATGCTATTAACCCTTTTATTTTTTATTTTTACTGTGAAATGCAAATGTTGATGCAAGTTTTGAATTTTCACCTTCATGGAATAAAATTTAATTTCTTTTTCAACATTTGCTAGTGAAATACACTTTTTACACATTGCAATAACTGCGAGAAGCCAATAATCCTAGTTGAATTGTCCATATTGCCCTTTGGGTATTCTTTTTCTTGTTATTATCTTTTCATTTTGTGGATGCCTATTTTGTTGTTTTTTTGTATGAAAGAAAATAGTAAAGTGAGAAATTCAGGTTTATTCCAAGTGTAAGGAAACAAAAGAGTGAAGTGAAAAATACACATTTTGTTTTGGATAATTGATGAATATATTAATGTCTCGTTTGATTGGGGAGATTAGCCATCATTAATTAAATAATTGGACTTTGTTTGATGTTTGGTATCTCCAATATCTAGCCGAGTCGACATGCAAATATTAGTCTTTTAATTGGTGGCCGGAAAAAGGAAATAGGAATTCAAGAAGAAAAGAAAAATCAATAATGACCAACAAGCCATTTTCGACATATACCAAAAACATATTAAACTTGACAAGCCGAAAATAAATAATTTACATTTTTGGCACAACTTTCTTCATCATTTCCAAAAGAACACCATTTTTTTTTGGATCCTTGCAGGTGGTTGATTAACATGGAAGAAGTAGATGCGTCGGCTAAGAACCCCTTTTTGTGCATTTCCTCTAAGAATGGCATTGCCTTGTCAAGCTCTTTCTTCTTCAGCAAGCCCTGGATTATGTTGTTGTATGTCACGCTATTTGGTGCACAACCACTTCCTTCCATTTTTATAAGCAAATCTCTTGCCTCGTCTACGAACCCTTCTTCACAAAGTGAACCAATAATGATAGCATATATGTGATTATCGGGTTTCAACCCTTTGGATGGAAGTTCGTTTAAAAGATTTTTTGCATCTTCAAGTTTCCCATCTTTGCATAAACCATTAATCAGGATCCCGTATGTGATTATATTAGGACTTAATCCTTTGTCTTCCATCACCCGTAGAAATGAAAATGCTTCGGCAATCTGATGAGTCTTGCACAAGCCTTCCAACAAAATATTGCAAGTATATAAATTTGGATGTACTTGCCGAGCTTCCATATCCTTATAAAGTTTCCATCCATCAGCGTTTCTACCTGCACTTAAGAATCCATGTATCATGGTGCCATAGGTAATTGTATCAGGGTACTCTACACCTTTAGAAGAAACTTCGAGAAAAAGACGCCAAGCTTCATCCACTTTACCATTCTTGCAATACCCGTTGATTAAAGAGTTATAGGTGACAATGCATGGCTTAAGGCCATTGCCCGTTATGGAATCAAACACTTCTTTCGCTCTATCCATTTTCCCTTGCAAACAATACCCATCTATCAGTGCATTATATGTGACAATATTAGGACGAATGTTTTGTTGCTTCATAATTTCCAAAACATCGTCAGCCTCCTTAACACTTCCCTCCTTGCAAAATGCGTCTACTAATATATTAAAAGTAACAACATCTAAAGGAATCTTACGATTGACCATTTCATTTAGTAAGTCCTTCACCTCTTTCCATCTACCAAAATCGCACAAGCCCTGAATCATCGAGTTATATGTGACAACAGTGGGTGATATGCCCTTATCAGTCATTTTAGACTTCAGCTCGAGAGCATTACCCACCATTTCAGTCTTGCATAAGCCATTAATCACCGCGCTATAAGCCATAACATTGGGTTTATAAATAGTCTTTTCCAATAAGCAAAGCAAATCATGGGCAGCAAGAACATGTCCATTTTTGCAGAGCCCGTTTATCACAGTGACAATTGTAAAATCATCGGGTTCACAAAGTCTCAAACTCAAAAGCTGCTTAAACAGTTTCTCTGCAACGGCCACCTTACCATCTAAAAAGAGCCCTTTTAAGAGAGTGGTGAATGTCACAACATTTGCCTTGTAGCCCTGTTTAAAGAAGATGGCGAAGATAGCAAAACCGACGTCTACGCGTTTCAAAAGGCAACAGCAATTAATCAAGATGTTCATCGTGTATTCATTTACAGGGGCACCCAGTTCACGCATTTCGTCGAACAGTTTGAGGGCAACCGAGTATTGTTTCAAATTGACAATAACTTTCAATTGTTTGGTGAATTCGAAAATGGGGGGCTGCGGCCGCATTCTCACCATTTTGCGAAACAAGAAAA